CGGCGAGGAGACAACAATTTGATAACCGCAATCAGAAATACAAGCTGGATCGACATTTGTGTACACTGTATTCATGTATTGTAAAACTGTGGAGACAATGTGCAATAAAACGATGAAAAATGTGAAGAAATTGTGTAGAGGAAGAAAGGGATTCAAACAAGTTTTCGTACAACAATCATCAGGAATCTTCGTTGTACTAAATAAAGGACACTGAAAACAAAATTGAACTATTCTAGAAAATCTAAGTTAGAGAAATAACACTAAGAACAACAGCAGTGAAATTTACAAGTGTGAATTTTAACAATGAAAGCGAGAGCAATAACGAATGTGTGTACTAACACTAAACTTGCAACTGAAAACTAGTGAACAGTAAACAAAGAAGAGAAAGAAAGAAGGAAGGACAAAGTGATAACAAATAACAGCAGTACATTACACCTAGAACATTAACGGCCAAGCTTGGCCGCACCAACCATGACACCAACCATGACATTTTACTTGAACAATTTCAACCCAATTTTACTATCTTTCTGTACACACAAATTAGGCTTATATATTCAATTACACTGCTGAGCATGCACAGCGTGGTGACAGCTAAGCAGCTCGCAAGTCATCAAGCCCAATTTCCAAATATGGAAGGTGTTATTTATGACACGGTTCCTCTTCTCTGATCAGCTCGAGACATAGCGCATCGGAATCAGTGCCCAATTCTCCTTCGGATAAGCCATACTTATTTTTGGCGTTCCGTTTTCCTTTAAAGGGATATGCACCACCACATAGATATGCACCACCACATCTTGCAATTCACCTACCCCGAATACAACCCATTCGCACGCTCCGGTTCCCCCGAACCTTTGAGCTACCCACAACACGTACAAACCGGCTAAGAGACTCCCCCATCTATGCTTCTCTTGATCTCTTTAATAGCATTCCACTCAGCCTCCGGCAAATCAACCCCAGACAAGATTTCAAAGCAAACATCCTCCCACTTGTCATCTCTTCCGTATGTACTTGCTCACATTGCTCAGCACATCTATAGCTCCATTGCGCCCAGCATATGTGATAAACCCCCTATTGCCATCGCTACTGCCTCAGCAAGCAGCTAAACTTTGATCTCTCTGTATCTGATCCCAGTGGCTGTAATTACTTTTTCTCTTATTAGCCACAGGCCATCGTGAGAATAAAAGATTTCAAACTTGTGTGGCTCAAAAGATGCGAAGATCAGAAAAAGGGGAAGCTATGCGAACAAGAATCATGCAAAACGGAACGCCTCACTACCACAGCACTGTACTACGTCTATGAAAATTTAGATGGACAATAAGCAGCGGTAACAAGCAGCGGTTTCACACGACGATCGTTTCGCCGTATAGATAAGGACGGCTCATCAGGTGTGCTGGAATGGACTGGGATGGAGAGCCAAGGAGGCATCTTTTGAGCCACACAAGTTGTGTGGAATGTTGCTTTGCGTCCTTGAATCGTGGTTTGACCATATTGTCCAATAGTCTTGCCAGTATCGTCATCGACATCCATAAACAAGAAGGTGACAAAAAACACATTTAGGCACAAGTGGCAACAACTTTGCCACACTACACTAACGAACATTGTTTGAACAATTTTAGGGTAATAATACTATCGATGTGCTATTTCTTACAAAAGTGTGCAGGAAACAAGGGTATACAAGTAAGAACTAAGCATGACAAGTGTGTATCAGCAACAAGTACAAGCTTGCACATGGAGGCAGGTACTCTCCATTGCCATGACCGCTGGTCATCCGTCTGGCAGATGTAGTACGTGCCTGAACAGCCTGCACCACGCTGCTTCTATGATCTAGGTCATCGAGTGCACTGCGCATCGTTTGTAGAGGGCGCTATTATTATTATTATTATTATTTTTATTATTATTATTCGAGTCCTGGTGGTGGCAGTCAATTATTTCTTCAGACTTTTCCCGTTTGTCTCTTTCCCTCAAACTAGTGAAGATTATTATTATTATTATTTTAATAACGAAGGTACGTGTTGGGTCGTAAGTATCCACGCAAACACACATCCAGTCAAAATAAAGCACTTGTCAAAGTATCCGAACGTTTTTGGTCCCTTCTCATCAAGGATTATACAGGGAATGGCTCAAGTTGGAAAGACTAAAACGTATATAGCGTAAAGATATGAGATAACAACACTCGTGACAAGGTGGAAAATTATCAAGTTCAGCACGACACAAAACTCGAAGGAAATAATAATAGTGACAAGAACATAGTGAGCAAATTAAGTTACATTGTTAACACCTCGACTTGGAGTAACACCAAACAATTGTAGCGACAACACATTTTCTTTCTGTACGCAAAGTTCAGGATCTAACTTAGGATATACAAAGCTTCTAACACAGCCAGATGCAACGCACATCTACTACGTGACAATATTGAGAAAACATTATCACTGTACAACTCACGACAATTGGTACGGGCTGACAGATGTTGCTTGATTGACGAAGTGCGATTCTTAGCTCCGTTGACTTTCCGATGTCCAGTCATCTCGCCTCTTCGCGGCATCACCACTATCCGTCTCTTTGCTTTTCCGCGGCCTTCCACGTTTTCTAACACTAGCCGTTGTGTGCGCGATGCCCAGTGTCCTTTCAGCTACGTCTCCTCAATTGCGGATTTCTATTGAGCTTCTTGCTCCAACTTGTCCGGTGTTCGATATTGAGGTTCGTTTTCGCGGTCTACCACGTTTTCGAATATTGACTGTTGTTGTCACTTTCGTTGTCGTTGTACGTGCGTCCTCACCAGTCCGTATTTTTACTTGGCTTCGCGTAACCCTTCCCGACGCAGACAGATCCTTTGTCAATTTCGGTGGTTTACGTGTCGGTCTTTCACCATCTTTCACGCTGTTCTCAGCTGGACCCTGCCCTACACACGCGGAGGAGGACGGGCATGCAGTCACATCTTCACAGGAAGAGGAAGATCCCCCGACGGACTGGACAGCACATTTTGGAGGACGACCACGGCGAGGACGACACTCACGCGCATCAAGCGGAACAAACCTAACGGCACATGTTGACGAATGCGCGCGCCCAGGTGCTGAAGGGTTCTACCTACATACCGATCTTTACATTGTCGGCATTGAAAGAAATAGATAAGGTTACTTTTACTAAGGGTAGGTAGAACATCCTTCTTCACACTGAACGCACGCACTGTCCCAAATATGATGTACAGCTTGACGCACGGATAAGACGGACATACGATACCACGAACATCCTTCTCCACGCGCGCAGAACCGGCGCCAACCGGATTACCAAACCAAGATGATGGTCATTCTGGAGGACAAGACGAAATTTTGCAGACTCGGACCGTGCGATGTATATGATCATACAGAAAACATCGACACTAAACTTAGCAAATACCTATTGTCTCTTCCAAAAACACATCAAATTTCTGATTATGAGTACGACCATCTGGCACCGACGGGATCAACAAGACCACGAATGTATGGGCTCCCAAAAATTCACAAGAAGAACATCCCCTTACGACCAATACTGAGCATGTCAGGATCGCCGCAATTTAAAACATCCAAGTGGCTATGTGCCATGCTACAGCCGGTACTCAACCTCTACAATAGCCACTGCGTCAAAGATACTTTCGAGTTTGTGGAAAAGCTAAGGGACGCAAACTTTGAATCTAGCGGATTCATGTGTTCGTATGACGTGGTCAGCTTATTTACTAACGTGCCACTACGGGAGACCATTGACATCTGCGCAACAACACTGTACCACAATAAGTCCATTACTCCGCCGTCCTTGAACCAAACGGAGTTTGTGAAACTCATGTTAATGGTTACATCTGGCGTTGAGTTTTCATTTGGCAACGTTATGTATAAACAAATAGATGGCGTTGCCATGTGCTCGCCGCTTGGTCTGGTATTGGCTAATATATTTGTAGGGTTCTGTGAAGCGTCCATTAGTCCATCATTGTGGCCCTCTATGTACTGTCGTTTTGTAGACGATGTGTACTGTCACGATGAGGATGAGGATGTCTGTGGGACTTTTCTACTAACTCTGAATAGCATCCATCCCAGGGCCGGAGGAAGGAGTTTGGGAGTGGTCCGGCGAACCTTTGAGGGGGGTGCGGGGGACCTCCCCCGGGAGGAATATTTGAAATTTACGTGAAATAGAGCGAATTTGGGCATCTCTAAGGCTCCAGAAAATGCAGAAAATTATAGTAAAAGAACACAAACACAACTTTTTTTATCCATATCAGCCATACAGTCCCGGTCACGGAGTCCTGAGCTACTTCGAAGCACATCACACGTCGGCAATACAATCGAGTCATGTACCTCTGGATTTTTTACACCAGTTTTGCACGAATCACATGGACCATCCAGCTGGGAAAGTGGTCCGGCCATGGCCGGACCAGCCTGACCGGTTCCGCCGGCCCTGCATCCGGCGTTGAGATTCACGTCGGAAGCGGAACAAAACGGCAGATTATCCTTCTTGGATGTACAAATATCACGTAACATTAACACTAAGAGTTTGGACACCACTACCTATAGGAAGCCAACTTTCACCGGCCTCTACATTCCGAGAGAGAGAGAGAGAGAGAGAGAGAGAGAGAGAGAGAGAGAGAGAGAGAACAGAACCATACAGTATTACAGAAAGTGTTTATCGGCCTGTGGGTTCCACTGTCCGTATGCCATGATGACTTTCTACGCGTAGTTTGTCCCAGTAAAATGCCGCTCAATAAAATCTGAGTACTAAAATTAAAAGAATGGTGAAAGTCTGAGCATGAGTGCTAAATACCCTAAAATCCCAAATTCTCATCCTCACTTTAAAAACCATCTGACAAAACAGCACAAAAAAACACCACAAGCTCCAATAGTCCTGAAACGCCTTGTGGGTTGTGATCAATCTTGTGCATGCGTCTTTATCAACATGGTTCAGTTAGTACGGAATATCTACCCCTGTTACCGCCATAGGACAATGACTTCAATTTTTGGTACTTCGCAGTAGAAAAGAGTAGGACACATCTTTCAAACTGCCTTGAAGAATAGAATTGCGAAGAAGAAAAGAAACAAGAAAAAGAAAATGGAAATTGAAGAAAGAACATTGTTGAGTTTTCAAGTACAGATTTTTCACGATGCAGGATAGTGGCTCTTGATGTACAAGAGCTTCAAAGTAAACGTCGATGTCTTCGAAAACGATATTGACAAAGTAGCTCGTCAAAAGGCTTGTGTTTCTGCAGACCTAGCTAGGCAGGAATGAGGATAGAGGAAGAGAGGTGTAGTCAGCAGTTTCAGCACTTGCTACAAGTCACACAGAGGCAACAGCGCACTAGAGAGTAGATACTATTATGCAGATTTGAATTCAAAGCATGCATGGGCTGCTACGTGCAATACTGGTGCTCTGTGAAGGCTCCTTGTCCGTACATATAGGGCAAGGATCATGCTGCATGCGGAGCATCAGATACTGTATCGTAACAAAAATAATGAAGAATATAGAAAGAAAATTACTGGATAGCACAATACGTAGTGGATCAACAGTGGTATGTGTATATCTGACTAGCACCATGCCGAAAGAGCATTAGTGTACCAAACTACTACAGATGCCATCGCGATGACAAGAGCAACACTTGAGCTGGCATGTTTGCATGCCTTGGAGCCAGGAGTATTCTGATGAAAAGCACCTGGTGTGATAGCTTTTTTCCTTGGAGGCAGCACTTCAAGAGAATGATTCTACAGATAGAAAGAATAAGATTCACAGAAAGTTGACAACCGTAATCAATAAGACAAGCTGAATCGACATTTGTGTATACTTTATTCGTGCAATGTAAAACGGTCATGACAATGTGCAATGAAACGATGAAAATAGGAAGAAAAAGTGTAGAGAACAAATTTTGAATTATGGCCTAAGAAGAACTACATTGTGGGCGACACTACGGCTATAAAAGCGTGCTTTCAGGTAGGCTTTCCCCAAATCGGCCCGTTTTTCGGCTATTCGGCTTTTCGCTCAGCTCAAAAAAATACATCAGTCTAGTCGGCTTTTCGCTCAGCTGCAAAATCAGCATATTGTTCGAAAATCAGCTGCAAAATTGGAATATATTGGAAATCGGCTAAAAGAATTGTTGGCATATTGGCTTCAAAATTGGTGAGATATTGGAGGATTTGGTAGATTTTCGGCGATTGGCCGATTACTTTCTTGTGGCTTGCGCTTCTCTTGCCTGCACAGCGCAACAAGATAATGTTGATGCGGCGCTGTATCAATCAGAATCACCCACCATTCGCTCTCGAAATCCACTCGAAATGTAGCTAGACCTTTCAGGCCCTAGTAAGCTAACTTACTAACCAAAATTGCGATGAAATAGGCTGCCAAGTAAGCATTGGCGACATATAAACAAAGCTGAAGGATAAGCGACAATATCGCTGACGCGGACCAAGTATTGGAAATCGGCTAAAAGAATTGTCGGCATATTGGCTTCAAAACTGGTGAAATATTGGAGGATTAGGTAGATTTTTGGCGAGTAGAGAGGTTAAGTTTCACGTGAAAATCTTACGTCCGTGAACTTTTACGTCAAAAAGTGAAAAAACTCACGTAAAATTTGACGTGTTTTACGTGAGTTGACTGTCCCGCACGTAAGTTCATGACGTGAGTTTTTGGAAGTTTCGCTTGGTTATCCCGACCGAATTTGTGTGAGTTTCCGGAATTTTATCGAGATTTATCAAGTTTGTTGGAAGATTTGATATTTGTGCGAACTAAACCCGAATCCTGCCAGGCAAAATTTCACGTAATGTCGCACGTGTAACTTAACCTCTAAAAATTACACGTAACATGAGATTTGCACCTCGTTTTGAAAAAGAGCAAAAATGTGTAACTGAACCTCTCTATTCTCAAAGAAACCCCCCAAAATCGGCAAATTGCAAAGCGATTTTAGATAAGTCTCATTTTCGGAGAAAAATTCGGCCGGCCGATTTTGGCATTTTACTGGTAACGATGGCTCTATATCCTATGAACTATACTGCAAGCCATGTCAGAGCGGTTTGGCATCAGACTACAACCCATAAGTTCCCAACAAGCAAAAGAAAGCAATTGCTTCCTCTGAGTTCTTGCGTGCCGTCTGTCTATCTTCAGATGCTGATACCCTTAAAAGAAGTGCAGAAAAGGTAACCAGCATCCTACAATTCAACAACTACCCAGAGTCAGGTATGGTTTCCGCACGTGAACGAGCTATGCGCTCTCGACGTGGCAGAGTGCAGAATGATTACCGTGTCACCCTCAACCTACCGTTTCACACCGAATCTATCCACTACAAAATTCATAAATTACACCGTAAATTACAAGATATAGGCCCAGCTGATCTACAGGAGCCGCCGTCTAAGTTCGATGATTTGCACGTCTGCGCTCATCAAACCACTATGCCGCAGGTATGCAGACCCGTCCAAGCCTTGTAAACAGGGGTGGCCCAAAGCTGCTTGTGTCGCCTGCATGTCTGCATGTCTGTCAGAAACATGCACAGAGCGAAATGTTGTATACCACCTCGACTGTAAATGTGGTGATAGATATGTAGAGGAGACTTACCGCAGCCTCGCCTCCCGGACCAAAGAGCACAACGATAACACACGCTTGCAGCCAAGTCAAGAAACTGAGAAGTTTGAAGTCCAATCCGGTATTGAGGATTGTCCAAACTAATCCTAAAGAAGTAAGATCTCTTTCTCCATCTCTGTCTCTCCCTATATCTTCCCCCCCCCCCAACCCCCCTCCCTCCTCCCCCTCTCTCTCTCTCTCTCTCTCTCTCTCTCTCTCTCTCTCTCTCTCTCTCTCTCTCTCTCTCTCTCTCTCTCTCTCTCTCTCTCTCTCTCTCTCTCTCTCTCTCTCTCTCTCTCTCCACACACACACACACACACATACTTTCTATTTCTGTCTGTCTCCATCTCTCTCTCACGCACTTTTCAGGCACTATCCTCCTCAGCCTACTCAAGCTCAGCTGATGAGCGGTAAATTCCCCGAATCACAGTGTATTAAGCAGGGATTGGTGCTTTGTTGCGGGGTTTGCCTAGTAGAGGGTGCGATGTGCTCCTCGCGTGCTCCGGATGGCAGCCGTGAGTCAGTGAAGTGCCAAGTTCGGCCAGAGGCCTATGGTCCTCGTCGGAACAAGCAACTTCATGATGATTAAAAGACCGCCGAAGTCGCAACTTTTAAGTTCGTAAGTTCATATAATGACAAAATAATATATTTAGAATTATGACACTACTGTTTGCTCTCCATTTGTTAGTGTAGCGTATTTCCGTACGCTAGCTCTTACCTGTGAGTTCAAACTTGAAGTCGGCTCATTAGTTTCCAGCGTAACTGCAGTGAAGCACACAGTGCAGCATACATCACCAATCAGGATACGGCTCAATTCAGATATGGCTGACTTAACGCGGAGAAGGGGCCAGCTTTCCTGCGTAGCTATAAGCTTGGACGTATTTCAGTATAGTCGAGTAGAAAAATTCAAATTTGTTCATATCAAGAAAACCCAAAAATGATGATGGTGAGCATGTCCCCAGTGTTAGAGGTGTTCTACTATCTGCTCATGTATAGTTCTTGCTAAGGGCAGGTTCTGACAATGGGTGACTGGCCCTAAACGGCAATAATTTGTTCGACATCACTAATAAAAGAATTTTTTTATCCAGCGCATGCACCAAGAGTGAATGACACCTGAAGAGAGTGGTTGTCAGTTGACAACCCCTGCCCCCCCCCCCCCCCTTTATCCGGTACTCAATACTCATACAAAGAAGAAAGTACACTAAAACCTGTGACTAACGACCACCCCTTGGTGCCAGGAAAAGCGGTCTTTAGTAGCAGGTGGTCTTTAGTTAGAGGTTTGCACTGCGTGACCATATATGGATCCCATTATATGATATGTATGTCAACATGCAGCTAATAACGTTACAATTCCCCAGGACTTGCGCAATACCATTCTTATTTCAGGTCAAACAACACTTGGAGAGCAAGACGGAGAGGTGGAGAGAGACAGAGAGAGAGAGAGAGAGAGAGAGAGAGCGAAGATCATTTTTTTGGCAGACATCAAATTCAGCTGCTACTTCTGAAGCCAGGAGTCAAACGTTTTTTCTGGAAGTTTCGACTGCGCTGGGCTTCGAATTTGTTCATGCGACCAATCATACCCACTGCCCTAAGATTTCTCGATTGCTTGAACGCAATCCTTCAGCATCAGAACCTTGCGGTGCTGCTTTGTTTCTGGATTCCTTGATGCCATCATCGATTCGTCTGTGGCTGTATGACTGAGGTGAAAGAGCCGTTCAGTATTCGTTTCTACTCCGAGTAGTAACATCGATCAGAGAGCGCTTTCGATGCGCTCTCCAAGACATTTCCTATCATGTTTATTCTTGACAGCGCTTGAAATATGGACAGGTGTAGTGCAGTCCACACCGACTCCACAGTCAAAATGAACTGCGTTAATATTTTCAGCTGCAGTATCGAAAGATTCCTTTCAGGACAATGGAAAATCAGCAAAGATTCAAGAAGGAGCTTCGAGCAACATTTGATTTCCTACATCACAGTCGCTAGTTACGGGTCAAAAATCGTCATTGGGACAAGAAAAGGCGGTCGCTGGTCGCGTTCAGCAGGTAGTCGCTGGTCGCGTTCAGCAGGTAGTCGCTAGTCACATTGCATTTTGAATATGAGACCGCCTGTGCCTGGTGAAGTGGTCTGTAGTACCATGCTGGTCGCTAGTCACCGTGGTCTTTAGTTACAGGTTTTACTGTAGTACCAGGCTGGTCGCCAGTAACGGTGGTCTTTAGTTACAGGTTTTACTGTAGTACCAGGCTGGCCCCTAGTCACGGTGGTCTTTAGTTACAGGTTTTACTGTAGTACCAGGCTGGTCGCTAGTCACGGTGGTCTTTAGTTACAGGTTTTACTGTAGTACCAGGCTGGTCGCTAGTCGCGGTGGTCTTTAGTTACAGGTTTTACTATAGTACCAGGCTGGTCGCTAGTCGCGGTGGTCTTTAGTTACAGGTTTTACTATAGTACCAGGCTGGTCGCTAGTCACGGTGGTCTTTAGTTACAGGTTTTACTGTAGTACCAGGCTGGTCGCTAGTCACGGTGGTCTTTAGTTACAGGTTTTACTGTAGTACCAGGCTGGTCGCTAGTCATGGTGGTCTTTAGTTACAGGTTTACTGTAGTACCAGGCTGGTCGCTAGTCACGGTGGTCTTTAGTTACAGGTTTTACTGTAGTACCAGGCTGGTCGCTAGTCACGGTGGTCTTTAGTTACAGGTTTTACTGTGGTACCAGGCTGGTCGCTAGTCACGGTGGTCTTTTGTTACAGGTTTTACTGTAGTACCAGGCTGGTCGCTAGTCACGGTGGTCTTTAGTTACAGGTTTTACTGTAGTACCAGGCTGGTCGCTAGTCACGGTGGTCTTTAGTTACAGGTTTTACTGTAGTACCAGACTGGTCGCTAGTCACGGTGGTCTTTAGTTACAGGTTTTACTGTAGTACCAGGCTGGTCGCTAGTCACGGTGGTCTTTAGTTACAGGTTTTACTGTAGTGCCAGGCTGGTCGCTAGTCACGGTGGTCTTTAGTTACAGGTTTTACTGTAGTACCAGGCTGGTCGCTAGTCACGGTGGTCTTTAGTTACAGGTTTTACTGTAGTACCAGGCTGGTCGCTAGTCACGGTGGTCTTTAGTTACAGGTTTTACTGTAGTACCAGACTGGTCGCTAGTCACGGTGGTCTTTAGTTACAGGTTTTACTGTAGTACCAGGCTGGTCGCTAGTCACGGTGGTCTTTAGTTACAGGTTTTACTGTAGTGCCAGGCTGGTCGCTAGTCACGGTGGTCTTTAGTTACAGGTTTTACTGTAGTACCAGGCTGGTCGCTAGTCACGGTGGTCTTTAGTTACAGGTTTTACTGTATGTATCAATTTCAAAGTGCCATGTGAAGCATACGCTTTGTTGCAAAAACGTATTACACTGAGTAGTTATGCCAACCTCGGTATCATGGTTTGATACCATTTTTAGGGTTGTGATTGCTTAAGACCCACTATGCTCACCGGATATTGAAGACCCACCATCATTAGTCAATAAAGAGGTTCTGCATAACGAATTTCGTTGCATTTTTTTGTCACTGTGAGCACGCAGCGAAAACGTGGACAGATGTTCGTCGAAGTGGGCGCGAAACTCGAATGTTCAGCGAACAAATTTTTCGTTGCCCTTTTGCTTCACTCCGGATACCCTTTCTACGTACTGACTTGCTTTGATCTGAGTCGATTTTAGTTTCTATCTCCGTGGCACGTCGTTCAGTGTGGTAGCTTCAGCTTACGATGGAAGGTCTTGGACGGCGTATGGCGATGGAAGATGATGGTGTGGATCCGCTGCAGACTCCCGCCGTGCAAGCGCCAGTTCCAGTCACTCCCATCCCAAGTACATAAAGTGACACTTCAGGTGATGGTTGTAGCGTCTCCTCCAGACGTACTCTATCCAGCACGGCGGAATGCCAGCGCCTCCAATACACTATGGAGATGGACCTCATCCTGCTTCGGCAGCTGCGCTCTCACCCGCATCCTTTCGTCCGTGGGTCGAATGCCATGGAAAACGTTGCGCTGGAGCTTGCTGCGCAAGATGCATCCCGATTTAGCTCCGTCAACGAAAGGGGTGAGGGACAGGGCGATGAAGCTACTGGACCACCATTGCAAAGGCGACGCCTCGAAGAAGCGACAGTAAGATTAATTTGTTAGTGCGTTTTGGTGCATTGTGGTTTGTGTCAAGAAATGGCTGCTGGTGATTCATAAACAATAGTAAACATTTCATGTAGGAGCAATAAAAGACCGTTCATAGTCAGCTGAGATGGCATAGAGACTGAAAAACTTAGAGGACGGCATGGAGTGGGAGGTTCCATGGTGAGACCCTCTTGTGAGGCAATTCCCTATGCATCTCCAACAGTCCATGTAATGACAGATGATGCACACATTTATCTGATTTGCGCTCAATTCCATTCGTACTATATGCATTTCTGTTTTGCAGAACCGCATCAGCGAGCAGTACACCGAGAAAGACCAGCTGTTGACAGAGCTGAAAGACCTCTACTCTGAGAGAGGATTGGCCAAAGAGAGGTCAGCACAAGCCGCAGCGACAGAAAGGGATCATGCAATTCAAATGCGGGATGATGCGTGCGAAACCTTTTCCAACAAAAGTGCCGGCCCTGTTACAACCAAACCTGCAGCGGATGGCAAGAAGCGGAGGTCCGGCCAATTTTTGGATAGCCTTATTGATTACATGGAGAAGAAGGATGAGGCCAAGACCGAACCGGAGAAAGAGCGTCTGCCATTCAAGAAAGAAAAATTAGACTTAGAGAAGCAGCGTTTGGAGGTTGATGCAGAGACAAGAAAGGAGGAGCTGCAGGAGTCACAACGGGAGAGGGGGGCAAGGACAAGAAAGGATGACAAAGACCGGGAGGAACTGCAAGATCGAGAGAAGACAGACAGAGAAGATGCACGCCAAGAGAGGAAGATGATGATGGATTTGATGAAAACAATGATGGAAACAGTGAAGAAGTAAAAGTCAAGGACGAACTGTCGCTCACAGAATTTGCATTATTTTCACACAGCAGTCTTTATTCCACATAGAACTAAAGTACAGAACTGCATGCCTCATTTGTTCCTCTCTGCTTAGCCCATCTCCCTATGTGAAGTACGGCAAGATATCCGTAACTCAAGACAGCCGTGCTTATCGATCCTCATGTGCTACTGCAGTAATTATAATAATGGCTATACATGCATGCATGCTCTCGACAGGTACATTCAGGCAGCAGCTTTACCAGATAGTGTTCACTGGTACATTCAGAAGTTCCATAATGTATGAACATAGCAGCACACTCACACACTGTGTGTGTGTGTGTGTGTGTGTGTGTGTGTGTGTTTTGTTCGGATAAACTACAACTACTACAGTGTAATCATACAGTGAATGATTTATATATAGCTCATGCTGGGACGAAAAGGACGAAACAGTTCTGTCCGCTGGTTGAGTAGCTCATCATTGCAAATACTCGTTCAAACTGGGAGGGCTGACTCCGAAGAACTTGCTGGTTTTGTTCCCATAGCGTGCAATTGTATGCAGATTTGTGAAAAGTGTAGCGACAAAGTAGTAGAGAGCCACTGGCTAAAGCAACATCTTCTGCTGTTTTTTCATGTCGATATAGGCCCAGAGTGTAGAAATTTCTCCAAAGGCCCACTCCACTGCTATTCTCACGTTGCTGAACCGCGTGTTGAAATCACGCTGTGCGGCTGTCAGTGCTGCACCCTGGAAAGCCTTCTGCAGATACGGCGACAATGGGTATGCCGTGTCTCCATACAGTGCATACGGCACTCCATGTGGGTCGTCCATATGTGCGGCCAACTGCTGCAGGAGTCCACTCTCTGCCAAGACACCAGCATCATGCCTCCTCCCCTCCACTGGACCAAAGAGATGTGCGATGATGCTGTCAGGTGTGACCACTGCTTGGTACTTCAGGGCATGCACTCGTTTGTGCCCGTTGTAAAATTGCTGCTGGTCTCTGACAGGACGGCATATTGGCCTCACGGTCCCATCAATAAAACCCCACACATGGAGATCGGGGCCGACTTTCTCCGTGATTTTTGTGGAGTACGTGGCAACTCTCTCTGCGCTGAAGAATCCTTGTGTGAATGGATCTTTGAGCAGATGGCCCCATCTCCGCCACTTCCACATCAGCATTGTATTGAAAATCAGCGATAGCACAGGCTTTGAACGCCCAAATTCATCACAGAGGTCAGATAACCGGCTGGGATAAGACAGCCGTCGGAGAAGAACCAGCAAACCCTCCATGCCACTCCACTTGGTCCGGCAAACTGGAGATCTATAGTTCTGCGGCACCTGCAGCGCAAAGTATAGGTCTTTCAGCTGCTGGCCAGTAAAGCGGAAGCGCCTGATGCACGTCTCATCATCCAGACTTGCGATGTCCAGACGCATGGGCACAATTTGATGACCGATAAGCATACCTCGAGCAGCTGCATAATGAATTCCAGTGACCAGAAACAACAATTCATCCTGCTCGAGGTCTCCGTCATCGAATTCCAGTAGCAGGAAACAACACAACAACTCCTCGTAATCATCTCCTATATCCACCGACATCTCTCCTACACCTACGCGTGCACGGCCACGCCATGGACACCACTTCACGACTCAAACAAGTAAATTAAGAGGTTTCGCAGTCAGAAAGTCAGAAAAAATCAGTGCAAAAGCAGCATTGGAAAAGCAGCGAAAATTGCGCAGCAAAGTTTCGTCCTGCAGAACCTACCGGCGTTTGAATTTTCGCGCTTCAAATTTCGTCACATTTTCCGTCATCAGCAGAGACGAAATTCGTTATGCAGAACCTCTTTATTGTTGATGGTTGATTGAACTGTGCTTTTGACTTGAATCGCTTCCTAATAGGTGCATTTAGGGATTCAAGCTGAGAAGTAGGATATCCCCAAAATGAGATACATACCCTTACATCCACAGTGCAATGTTTATGCCTTTTGCATGTCGATCCACGATATTGCAACTCTTGCCATGCCCCCTCACTGTTACTGTTTTGGCATGGCTGAAATAGGGTACTTCGAAGTAGCTGCATGATATCTTATCTCTGGCGCTGAAGCACAGAGTGTTATAGATTTTCGCTCCCTAAACATTTGCACACAGTAACATGTCACTCAAAGGCAACAGTACCACTCCTGCATATGGCTGCTTGATATCCCTATGGGGAACTCCCTTTATGCTCACCAGATGCAGATGCAGATCCATCTTCATCGGTTGCTGGTGAAGTTTGTTGCGACTGTCCCGGACTTTGATATATTTGGCTTTTTCTTAGGTCTGGCACTGGTGGTGTTGGGGTGGTCATACCTGACAGACCTGGATTGCACAAGACATAACCATGACAATATCTCTGTACTCCCCAAGGTTCTTGGATTCTCAAGGTTATGAGGGCCTCTTTTACGAGAAAACAAAGTACAATTCAATGTGCCATCAGAAAAGATTAGGGTTCTCAAGATGCCCCCCCCCCCCCCCAATTTCTCATTCCAATCAATATTCATCAATTCTTCAGTGGTTCCAATAGTGTTTAAAATATCGAATGGAGGCCCGTGATTCAAGAGTACTGACTGTAGAAAAATTCAATGACCAAATTTGATGTACAACAGTACAACGAATGGGCTTCTCCTATAACATTGGGGAAGCCCCTAGCTTGATCTTACCAGGAATTTTTGATCCTTGTGCATTGGCTACCGCCGGAATTCTTGGGAACTGTCCTGGATTTTGCGATGGTTGACTTTTTTTTTGGATTGGAACTTGTTGCGCTGGTGTGGTTTTGCCTGCCACCTTTGAATCTGCACGGACATTAACATAATAAATCACCTGCATTACACACGGTCACTGCACATGGTGTCTAGATTATCAAGGGGATTGCTTAAAATGGTCTCAAGCACTGAGTGTGCGACGGTACATGATGAAGGGAGGGATACCTGCCCCAAGTGAAGGTGCGTAAAGGAATTTACAGTAAAGAAAAAAGGACCAAGAAACTGCAAGTTAGGGTATAATGTCCAGTACCACCTGTACTGTCAGTAGCGTGGGTCAATGTCGTGCAATGTTATCACATGAGCTGATTGTTTAGTATCTGGTGGTTTTAGTGCACATTATAGCCTGACTTGCAGTTACTTGGGCATTTTTTCTTTACTGTAAAAATTTCCTTGGCTTTCTATCCAAGTCTATTACATTAAAAGTAATGGAAACTATTGTCAATCGCCAATTATTGATGAACCATCTCGAGCGCCAGCAGCTCCTCGTTCCCCACCATTTTGAGATCTGTAGGGGTCTCGGTACGGCAGACGCACTGCAGGCGCTTTTTAACTTAACGCCTGGGTGGCCATTGTTTGCCAAGGCGGCATGGCACGAATTCTCCCAGCTTATATACCTGGGGCCTTTTGGGAGCGGTTTTTCCAGGCTTACTGCTACCCACAGGCACAAGGGGTACATGGATGCAGCCAATGGGGTCGTTCTGGGCACTTTTGCCAGTGGTTGTGAGATTTATTCACTCACCTACACCGTTAGGCGCTGCATCTGCCGCTAGGATTTACCGGGTGTAAGCGGCCGTCGTGAGTTCCCTTCGGGAACGGACACGATAATTTACTTTTTACTTTTTGACCGGGTCTCCCACGTGGGCCTCCTCTGCAAGGTCAGGGAGCTCGGCATTACTGGCACTCTCCATAGCTGGCTATCGTCTTATTTTGACGGCTGTTCAGTGCTCAGTCGGCGGGCCGATTTCTTCTCTCTACCAAATATCTGCAGGGATGCCCCAGGGCAGTATCGTGGGCACTACGCTGTTTAATATACGTGAATGACGCTATCGATGTTCTTGTTGGCAATGCTAAGCGTGGGGCCTACGTGGACGGTACGACACTATACATTTTAGTATCCTCAGCACAGTGCCCTCGGGTCGCTGCACAGGCCTTGCAGATATCTACGAACCGCCTGCACTAGTGGGGTTGCCGGTGGAAAGTGTCGTTCGGACCCACCAAGTCACATGCTATGACTGCTATCCTCCGACGCACTGACCTAGACCTACCCCCAATCCTGTTTGGTAGTACACCTGTGTAATGTTCTGGGACATTATTATTATTACAGTAATGGTCAAACCAAAGCACTAACAAAGACAAAACTAAAGACCAATAACCAGGAACATAAAGCACAGAGAAAGGGAACAAAACAGATACACATATAAATATCGTACAAGATACTATAATAGTACAATACTATAATAATTATAGTATTAACCAGGAGGCCTGCAACATCACACTCCTCCTTTTCTTGAAAGTCTACAACTACAGTCCATAGAAATGCTGACCATAGCAAACTTCAAAATAGCATTTCAACAAACTAAACGAGAGAGCTTGGAAGCTCAGGGCCCTATGCTATGCTTTTTTGCCTTGATGACCTAGACAAAAAAAGCATAGGGATGTTATAAATTCTTATAAGTTTCTACTTTATGTTTGAGACATAACCTGGGATTCGAACCCGCACTATCGCCATGCATGCATCCCCCGATACACTTCGCATACATACTAATTCTTCCAAGTTGCTTGACGTTATGATCTTGTATTTGAAAGCCCTATTTGAATATGCATTGTGGCCAGCCGTCTTTGAATGTACGGTACGGTATGGGACAGGTACGGGGCAGGTACGGTCGAGGGTAATACGACACCGTCTACCGCCTTGATGACGGAAAAAAAGAGAAGGGATGTTATAATTTTTCAATTCTCCTAATTTTTAAGGCATTACCAGGGATTAGAACCCGCACAATCGCCCCACATGCATTCCCCCATACACTTCGCATTCATACTCATTCTTCCAAGTTCCTTCACGTTTAATGATCTTGCGTTTGAAAGCCCTATTTGAATATTGCGGCCAGCTGTAGGTGGCCAACTGTGTTTGATGGTACGGTACGGGACAGATACGGGATAACGCCAGGCGTCACACAAACACACAAACAAACAAACACCAAATTAAAGCTGTGTGGACCCTGCCTAGCGGCAGACGTTACTGAAGTAACGTCTTCTGCATAGCTACGGGAATAAACAAAAATAGGCTGTCCAAAACGCGATGAATAACCAAAAGCGTTCTATCAATCCATGTCATAAAATATGTAAGTATACAGTATAACGCAAGCTCAACCATTGTAAGACGAACGACCAGTCGAACACAACTGTCACACAGCCTAGTCAATGCAGAACAGAACAAGGGCCGGACAGGTTCCTTAGCATTTCACGCTTAACCTGTCTGACCTGCGGGGCTCCGCACGACGCTGGGGTGCCTCTTGCACTTCGGGGCTAGGTTCAGCTGGATGCTGCTGCCGGAATGGTTTCGTGAACTGTACGTTCCTCGGCACAAGCTTCCCATCTGGTGCCTGGACCACTATTTGGTCCCCATTCCGACTAACCACCACATGAGGTTGGTGATGGAATAGTGTGTCGACCTTCGACCGTGTCTCCGAACGCTTTAGCAGTACCGAGTCACCTATCTGCGTTGACTGGCTGGTGGCATGGTTGGCGCCATCTGCAGAGTCACGCATACTCTGCTTACGCTCGCTGTCACGATCTCTGACGGCCTCGTTTGTCGCTGGTTCACCGAGGGCTGGTAACTTGCAGTGCACTTTGCGCCCAAACAATAACTCAGCTGGAGCAACTCCGGTGGTGCTATGTGGCGTTGAGCGGTATGCCATCAAGAATCGTTGAACCCCCCGCTTCCACGTCTTTCCTTCCGCATATGCACACGGATCACTTTCATCAGGGATCGATTTTGTCGCTCAACTTCACCGTTAGCTCTCGGCCACAGTGATGTAGTACGAAGCTGTTGAACACCACACTCATGTAGAAACTTCGCAAGCCCTTCCGAGTTGAACGCAAACTCGTCGGGATACCGTGGCGGCTGAACTGGGCTTCAATCATCGGAATCACAGCTTCAGCTGAGGTTGACTTGACCACATCTACTTCGAAATATCGACTGTCGACAGCCAAATGCTGCCATGGCGCATCTGGAAGAGGAGTGGACTTGACTGGCGGTGCATTGGCTGGCGCTGCAACCACTTGGCAGGCATGACATGACTTGCAGAGCTTCTCGGCCTCGCTATCCATGCCTGGCCACCAAACCTTGGACCGTAGATGCTCTTTCGTCTTCACGATGCCCTGGTGGCCCTCATGTGCCAACTGCACGGTCTGGTGTCACAACTCTGTATGGATAACAATGCGTTGACCTCTGAGCACCACCTTGCCAACAACAGTCAATTCTCCTCGGACCTGACGGTATGCTGCTGGCAGACCATCCCAAGATCCGTCGTGAAGGCACTTGCGAACAGCAGATAGCTCTTCATCTTCAGCTGAGCTACGTTCAATCGTTCTGATACCGATAGCGATGGGTGCTGCTGTCTGAGTGATAAGTCTAACCGACTCTTCATCACTGCTGATTCCTGGATCTGCCGCTGCAACGGGCAGGCGAGATTAAGCGTCAGCGATGTTCGTCTTTCCAGGAATGTGCTTGACTCGATAGCTGTACGGCTGTAGGTGCAGGACCCATCTCTCAATCCTGGCACTGGGCTTGGATCTTGCCCAATAAATCACTTCCAGCGGCTTATGGTCGGTGCAGAGTGTAAACTCCCTGCCTAGCAGATAGGTGTGAAATCGTTCACACGCCCAGACAATACCAAGAGCCCCTCGCTCGGTCTGCGAGTACTTCCGCTCTACCGCTGACAGTGATCTGCTCGCATACGCAGCTGGTCGCCAAACACCGTCCTGCTTCTGGACAAGCACAGCTCCGAGCCCAACTGGACTGGCATCCGTCACTAACTCGATCGGCGCTTCAACATCATAGTATGCCAGTGTTGAGCTGGACACCAGTAGTCGCTTCAGGTGGTCGAACGCTTGCTGTTGCTCTGTAGTCCACTTGAACTGAGCTCCCTTGACCGTGAGGCGACGCAGTGGCTCAGCAACTGTAGCAAAATCAGGGATGAATTTTGCACTGAAACCGGCTGTACCGAGGAAGCTTCTTACTTCCGACGCATTGCTGGGCCTGGATGCTTCCGCCAAGGATCGTATCCTTTCCGGAGTTGGCTGTATGCCCTTGTCAGATATCTGCAAGCCGAAGAACTCAATGGAGCTCTTAGCAAACTCACACTTTGATGGGTTGACTGTGAGGTTGACCTGCTGCAAGCGATTCATCAATGCATGAACCCTCACATCATGCTGGTTCAGTGAGTCCGCATGTAGCAAGATATCATCAGCTCCGTTTCTGCACCCGGCCAAATCCTTGATCACATCGCTGATGATCTTCTGGTAAAGCTCTGGTGCTGAACTTATACCAAATGGCAGTCAACGAAACCGGTACAACTTCCCATTTGCAGCAAAAGTTGTCAGGTAGCGGGACTCTTCTTCCAACTCTACTTGGTGAAATCTCCACTTCAGGTCAATCTTCGAAAACACCGTGCTGCCATTGACTTCATGCAGCAGCTCCTCTGTTGTTGGCATTGGATGTCGTTCTCGGACGATGGCTTCATTGACCCGGCGTAAATCCATGCACAAACAGATGTCGCCATGCTTCTTTGGTGCTATCACAATTGGGCTCACCCACGGCGTCGGGCCCACAGCTTCTTCAATAATTCCTGATTGCTGTAACTCCTGAAGTTTTTCATCCACCTTGGTTTCATACGCATAATGGTATCCTACGCTGGCGTTGGGCCACAGGTGGAACTTCAGAGTCTACATGAAGACGTGCTTGGTAGCCAATTAACTTGCCCACACCACTGAACACACCAGGATACTCATTCTTGATTTCATCGTTGATACTGGGACTAGCTGTGGCGCTACCAACTTGATTCACGTCAGGTAGCACCAAGGCCTTCAACTTGAGTGCAGTACTACGTCCCAGCAAGAACTCTCCATCTCCTCTGACGACGATCACTTCGTCCTCAGTGCGCTCTGAGCCGCATTGGAAAATTGCAGTAAACTTGCCGACGACATTCAGCTGGTGTGCTCCATGCGCGAAAAGCTTGCTGGTGCACTTCGTCAAAGTGACACCGAGGCCTTGCAATTGCAGCTGGCCCAAAGTTGATTCTCCCAACAAGTTGCATGACGCTCCAGAATCGACTAGCACTCGCGACGACACACCATTGCGGCTGACATCGATAGAGGCCTGTGTCAAATTACTTCCTCGCACACCAAACACAAAATCGTCTACATCTTGAATTTGAAGTGACCGTTTATGCCACACTTTCTACCCCTTTGGCCACGTGCAGGACAGTTCCGGTCGCGGGCGAAGTGGCCAACTAATTACTTGTCCACAGTTGTGACACTCTGGCCGTGCACAGCATTCACACTTCCTGGTGCAGCTTCACCCGTACCCGTACCGTACGAACTGGGCCCTCCGTTGTTTCATACTCGCGCCTTTTTTCAAGGCCACAGCCAAAGTGAGGTCGTCGACTTCTAACAATTTCTTTCTGAGGCGATTGTCCGATATCCCTATGAGCAGCTGGTAGCATACATGATCCTCCATGTCAGTGCCATATTCACAGTATTTGCCTTGCCCAAGCAAACGGGTCGAAAACTGAGATACTGTAGAGAGGTTCTGCAAAACGAAAATGTGTACGAACTTTCGCTCCACGTCACGAAGTGAGAAACTTCGCACGAACTTTCGCAACTTTGGACGCGAAACTTGCAGGGAACGCGAAATGAACTTTCGTAGGAAGTTTCGTGAGATTAGAGAGGTTCCGGGGTACGATTTTCCGTGCCAAAGTCCGTGTGGGCGCTACGGATTTTTTCCAGGCGTGCTCCATACGATTTTTCGGCACGGAGAATCAGTGTGGACTGGCTTTCACACGAACCATGTTTCGTATGGAGATTTTGCGTCATCGGGTTCAGAAAGATTTTTCGCGTACAAATTTGGTACGAGAAACATCGATTTTCCGCGGGAAGTTTTGATTTCGGTACAATTTTTCAAAATGCAAAGGCATAGCGCGGGAAGGTGACGTGTTTGCGATCGTAACCTAGGCAATGACGGCAAACACATAAGTTCCGTACTCCGGAACATTTCACTGCTCGAAAACGACGTATAAAAAATCCGTAGCGCCTCTACGGATTTTGGCACGAAAAATCGTACTCCGGAACCTCCCTATTGGGTCATGTCGACATGTCGTACGTTCACTTGGCGCGTGCAAACTACGAAAATATCCAGAACACAAAGTTCGTGCGAAAATTCGTACACATTTTCGCAAGGCCGGTCGCGAAACTTCGTTCGAATTTTCATTGTGCAGAACCTCTCTTGTTTCACCACTCCGTTGTGACATCTGACGAAGCTTATAACGTTCGAACTTCTTGTTGGCCACGAACTCAAAAGCCTTGTCCAAAGCACTCACAGCTCGCTCGAATAAATTGTCGGTGTCCTCATACTCTGTTAGCGTTTCGAATTTCTCCTGTACTGGCATACCAGTCAAGTACAGCAACAGACTCCTCTGCCTCTTCGCGGATGTTATGTTCTGCCCATCCACATAGTACTGGACTGATCTTTTCCACCTGCGCCATCTTGCAGAAACTTCATGGGCAGGACCCTCGAGATCTAACGGCTCCAAAGCCGGGCCTACTCCTGTGAGGGTCATTGTCACTGAGGCCTACTCAGGTCATGTATATGACTATAACTATTAAATCTAGTTCATCTTCGTCGCGCATGTAATGTTCTGGGACATTATTATTATTACAATACTGGTCAAACCAAAGGACTAACAAAGACAAAACTAAAGACCAAGAACCAGGAACATAAAGCACAGAGAAAGGGAACAAAACAGATACACATATAAATATAGTACAAGATACTACAATAGTATTATTATTATTATTATTATACGCATTACCGCGTTGAAGTGTAGCAGCAGTATGCTGCGTCCACAGCTTCGCTTATGCAGAACAATAGTACAATACTATAATATAGTATTAACCAGGAGGCCTGCAACTTCACACCCTGTACCGGAGGAAACCAGCATATCAATGCATGGAGTTCGATTTGACTCGAAATTGTCATTCACTAGTCACATCAGGGCCGTGACCATCCGCGCCCAGCAGCGCCTCGGCGTTCTCCGACGGGCTGCATTGACATTGCATTGCCCATGGTACCTCAAGGTGATCTGTTAAGATGTTGTCAATCCCATCACTATTTATAAGTAACTACCTTACTAAGGAAACGGTCTGGCAGCAGAACAATAGGGCATGAATTTACGTGATTCAAGAGTGGTTACTCTTGATAATTATATGCAGAGCTCACTGACTTGTCAGTTTGAGCACTCTGGCAAGGTACGTTCGGGCCTGATTGGAAATTTTTATTTCCATTGCTATCAGGTTCGGCCTCATTTCCTCTGTGCTGCGCTGATGAGTTCAAAAAGAACGAAACAGCATGCTGTCCGCAGATTGAGTATTTCACTCCTGCTCTTGTAGCAGTTGAGCACTCTTGCGTGGGGTAGTGCCTTTGCTGTTTGGGTTATGCAGAGCTCACTGACTTGTCAGTTTGAGCACTCGGGCAAGGTACGTTCGGGCCTGATTGGAAATTTTTATTTCCATTGCTATCAGGTTCGGCCTCATTTTCTCTGTGCTGCGCTGATGAGTTCAAAAAGAACGAAACAGCATGCTGTCCGCAGATTGAGTATTTCGCTCCTGCTCTTGTAGCAGTTGAGCACTCTTGCGTGGGGTAGTGCCTTTGCTGTTTGCGTTATGCAGAGCTCACTGACTTGTCAGTTTGAGCACTCTGGCAAGGTACGTTCGGGCCTGATTGGAAATTTTTATTTCCATTGCTATCAGGTTCCGCCTCATTTCCTCTGTGCTGCGCTGATGAGTTCAAAAAGAACGAAACAGCATGCTGTCCGCAGATTGAGTATATATTATATATAAAATTCCATTGCCGTTAGCAGAACGGATGTGATCCTGGTAATTATTATATATATCATTGGAGAAACCCCTTGTTTAGACTTACCTGAAATGTGAGATGCACTTGGATTGGTCACTGCAGGCATTCCTTGAACTTTTCTTTGGACTGTTACTGGGTTTGCTGGTAAGGTTGTGCCTGACACATCCGCATCTGCGATAAAAATGACAAATTCCCTACATTACACATGATCTGTACGTTCTCAGGGGATTCTGCGGGCCGCAACCATTAGACCATAATGAAAATATTTATTCCCATACCTATGCAAAAGACGTTACTTCAGTAACGTCTGGCGCTAATGGGCCATTCACACTACGCCCAAAACTTGACGTACGTGACGTTTTCGTCCGGATAGCCATGACAACATGGAACGTTGCGGGAAAATCGTACTCTTGATACGAAAACGTAGACGACCTATCCAGACCCCTGTACCGAGTTTCGTTCTATCGTTCCCAGCAGTTTCTGTCCGAAAGAAACTGTACACACAGCTATATGAGCAGCGTGTGCGTGCCTGTATGAATGCACCTGCATGGAAACGACGTCTGCCAGTACGTCGTATTCCAAAACGTGACGCGTAGTGTAACGTAGCATGAATAGCCTACAACGAGGGTCCACACAACTTTAATTCCGTGTTTTTTTGGTTTGTTTGTGCTATCGGTATGCCTGGCGCTATCCCGTACCTGTCCTGTACCCTACCATCATAGAAAGCTTCAGCATCCCGTACCTGTCCCGTACCGTATCATCAAAGACAGCAGCTGGCCTGAATATTCAAATAGGGCTTTCAAATGCAAGATCATAACGTGAAGCAATTTAGAAGAATGAGTATGTATGCGAAGAGTATCGGGGGAATGCATGCAGGGCCATAGTGCGGGTTCGAATCCTAGGTTATCCTTCACTACAGTCCATTCATCGGAAATTGGCCCGCTGTTTTTTTAAATTTCGGATTTGGGCCGAATTGAGGATCAAAAACCCACTTTAAATCACAAAAATCTGGGTTTGAGATCTGCTTCTCCATACATATTTCCATGGCATACCTGTCCTAATTTTGTAAAACCTGGCTGAATTTCTATTTCCCTGTTCTCGGACTTTTCTGGCCTCAAATGTGGCAAGGAGTAATTGCACCGGTCACACAATGCAGGATGTACTGTTGTTTTCACGGTATCTACAACTATGTGAGAGACATACCAAAAAGTTAGGGTGCCAGTTTCCAATGAATGGACTGTAGTCACATCACTGCCGTGACCATCCGCGCCCAGCAGCGCCTCGGCTTTCTCCGACGGGCGGCTCACATTCTAACGCCAGCTGGCCGAACGACTGTCTACAAGACATTCTTGAGGCCCCTGATGGAGTATGCCCAGCTTGTGTGGATGGGCGTGCCAGCCAGCCACATCCAACGTCTGGATAATGTTCAACGCCGCGTAATCCGGATTATTGGCCCTGGTGCAATTCTCTCCAGTCTGGCTGTCTGCCGGACTGTTGCTGCACTCTCGTCCATTTACAAATTGCATTTCATCACTGGTACTCCTCAGCTACTTGCTGTATTGCCACGCATCAAGTTTCTCCAGCCAACCCCAGAACCAGGAACGAGCACAATAATGCCACTAGCCACGCCTATCAACTGCATCACTCATCGTCCATTTTATTACAATTAATCCCAAAAAATTATTCCATTCGTTCTAAGAATCGTGATTCCTAAGCTGGGAAAAATGCATAGCATAGGGCGCTCGTGTTACAATGTCAAATCAGATCTGCATTCCATACAATCAATATGTTGCTGCATTATATGACTAGGGGGAACCCCCATTATCCTCACCAGAAATATAAGATCCATCTGTATTGGTCACTGGTGAAATTTGTTGCAACTGCCCTGGACTTTGAGATGTTTGACTTTTTCCATGCGCTGGCACTGGTGGTCTTGGAGTGGTTATACCAGGCAGATCTGATTTGCACACAAAATAAAATTAATTGAAAAACAACATTGCATTGCCCATTGTACGTCATACCTTATATATAGGAAACGGTCTGGCAGCAGAACAATACCGCATGAATTTACGTGATTCAAGAGTCGTAACTCTTGATAATTATATAAATTGTCAAAATTCCATTGCCGTAAGCAGAACGGATGTGATCCTGGTAATTATTATATATATCATTGGAGAAACCCCTTGTTTAGACTTACCTGAAATGTGAGATGCACTTGGATTGGTCACTGCAGGCATTCCTTGAACTTTTCTTTGGACTGTTACTGGGTTTGCTGGTAAGGTTGTGCCTGACACATCCGCATCTGCGATAAAAATGACAAATTCCCTACATTACACATGATCTGTACGTTCTCAGAGGATTCTGCGGGCCGCAACCATTAGACCATAATGAAAATATTTATTCCCATACCTATGCAAAGACGTTACTTCAGTAACGTCTGGCGCTAGCCAGGGTCCACACAGCTTTAATTTGGTATTTGTTTGTTTGTGTGTTTGTTTGTGTCACGCCTGGCGCTATCCGTATCTGGCGGCAAAAAAGCATAGGATGTTATAAATTTTTCAATTCTCCTATTTTTTCAGGCATATCCTGGGATTCGAACCCACACTATCGCCCTACATGCATTCCCCCATACACTTCGCATTCATACTCATTCTTCCAAGTTGCTTCACGTTATTATCTTGCGTTTGAAAGCCCTATTTGAATATTGCGGGCAGCTGTATGTGGCCAGCTGTGTTTGATGGTACGGTACGGTACGGGAGACGGTGTCGTATTACCCTCAATCGTACCTGTCCCGTACCTATCCCCTACCGTACCGTGCCATCAAAGACGGCGGCCACAATGCATATTCAAATAGGGCTTTCAAATGCAAGATCACAATGTGAAACAACTTGGAAGAATTAGTATGTATGCGAAGTGTACCGGGGGATGCATGCAGGGCGCGCGATAGTGCGGGTTCGAATCCCAGGTTATGTCTAAAAAAAAGAGTATTTTTTTAAAGAATTTATAACATCCCTATGCTTTTTTGTCTAGGTCATCAAGGCAAAAAAGCATAGCGTAGGGCCCTGAGCTTCCAAGCTCTCTCGTTCCCATACCTATGCAAAAGACGTTACTTCAGTAACGTCTGGCGCTAACGAGGGTCCACACAGCTTTAATTCCGTGTTTGTTTGTTTGTTTGTGCTATCGGTATGCCTGGCGCTATCCCGTACCTGTCCTGTACCCTACCATCATAGAAAGCTTCAGCATATGCCCGGCGCTATCCCGTACCTGTCCCGTACCGTATCATCAAAGACAGCAGCTGGCCTGAATATTCAAATAGGGCTTTCAAATGCTATATCATAACGTGAAGCAATTTAGAAGAATGAGTATGTATGCGAAGTGTATCGGGGGAATGCATGCGAGGCGATAGTGCGGGTTCGAATCCTTCATCAAAAGTGTACACGTACATCTGTACAATTGCAGGATTTTGTACAGAATTGGACAATAGCCGCAGTTGCTCTTTGCTTTTCCAAGCGAACGGTTGACATGAATATTTACGTCAGGGTTTTCGCTTGGGCTTGTTACATGTTCAGCGTCCATCCGACTTCGAGTTCTTCACAACATATTATTCTTCAACAGGGTAGTTCCACTGATTCCTTCGACAAAGAAAGCTCAGGAAAGCGCTCAAACGATCGTGACATTCCGTGCAAAGTGTACAGAATTTCCACTTTTCTCCATCGACACGAATCACATTCCTGGCTTGTCCAGTTCTCTTTCCCACTTCTGGACAGTAATCAGATTCACTGACATGTTGGCTACATGAGACTAAGAACCATCTACTTCAACTGTGTCTTGTCGAACACAAGCAAACTGAATTGAGCTTGACAGTGAAAGAAGAAAGGAGAACTTAAGGGGAAATTGCCGCCGCATACAAAACTTTAAAAGACTGCAGTGTTAGTGCAGTGTCCAAAATCATCCAGAGCGCTATCCGCGACCCGCGTGCGGACTGAGCAGGACAAGCCAGTTGGTTGGAGTAGTAAAATACTACCCCCTAGTCAGTAGTGTGCACAACAGTAGCATGTAAACTGCACACAATCAGTACAGAATGGTCTTTGTACATACCGGTATTCATGGCCAGTGCAACGCACTTTTGGGCGATACAAAACAAAACAAAAATAGCAGCCAGTGAATTTTGATCCGCAAACTGCGATGCGAAACCGGATAAATCGATCCCTGCCATGATATACTAAAATCGAAATGCTATAAATAAATATAGAAAGGAAAAAGGACATATGGATACGAGTTAAGAGTAACTCTCCATCATTGAAACCAGATACTGTATACAGTCAGAAACATCCGAGTTTCAAATTGCACACCTGATGAGCCGTCACGAACCATACGGCAAAACGTCGTCGTGTGAAACAACTTGTTTTGTAGTCAACTAGTCCATCTCAATGTCCTGCACGAGGAGTACTGTAAGAGTTTGGCTTTCGGCTTGTACAATTCGTTTTCGCAAAGCTTCCCCCTTCTTTACTTTTCTTTGATATTTATGATCCACCCAGTTTGGGTGGTGTACTGCTTTGCGGCTTCGAATTGTAGTTAGACCGCTTTGTCACGTAGCCTACTCTTCTCGTCATCGTCCAGTAAAAATCGAAATTCTTTCTTTCGTTTGGACTGTAGCTTGTGCTCGTTACAGTGGTGGAGAGTTACTCTTTACTCGTATCCATAATGTCCTTTTCCTTTCTACATTGATAATTGGCTCAACATCCGAGTTCATAAATAAATAAATTGTGCATACATAACTAGACGACACAAGGCAAGGCTAGTTTTAAGGATTCCAGTAACGCTTTCTTGTGACGATCATCAGTTGGAAATCCATCACAATCCGGTATTGAAGAAGTTCCAAACTGATCCTAAGGAGTGATTGGGATTCCATAATTGTGCATGGGGATTTATCTAGGATTAAAGGAGTTCAAAGCCCTGCTCCTTTATACAAGCAGAACAAGCCAACTTTGTGATAATCAGAAATATAATCAGACCTGCATTCACACGCTCAATATATTGCTGCCTGGCAAAACCAGAATAATCCCTCTTTGTGCTCACCAGAAATATAAGATCCATCTGTAGTGGTCTTTGGAGAAATTGGTTGGAACTGCCCTGGACTTTGAGATGATTCACTTTTTCCTTGCGCTGGCCCTGGTGGAGTTAGCGTGATTATACCCGGGAGATCTGATTTGCACACGAAAGAAAATTTAAAAAAAATCATTGCATTACCCATGATGCCTAAAGGCGGTTTGTCAAGATGTTGTCAATCCAATCACTAGATATCAGTAACTACCTATCAGGCAGTTTAACCACATTGCATGGAATTACGTGATTGAAGAGTGGTGAGTGAACTATACACTGTCCAGATTCCATTTCCACGCGGATATGATCCTGCTTCATGTATATCATTGGAGAAGTTCCTTGTTTAGACTTACCTGAAATGTTAGATGCACTTGGATTGGTCACTGCAGGCATTCCTTGCACTTTTCTTCGGGCTGTTACTGGTTTTGCTGGTAAGGTTATGCCTGACACATCCGCATCTGCAAGGAGATAAAAAACGACAAATTCCCTACATTACACATGATGTGTAGGTTCCAGTCACGCTTTCTTGTGACGATCATCAGTTGGAAATCCATCACAATCCAGTATTGAAGAGGTTCTAAACTGATTCTAAAGAGTGACTGGGATTCCAGAATTGTACATGGGGATTTATCTAGGATTGAAGGAGTTCAAAGCCCTGCTGCTTTATACAAGCAGAACAAGCCCACTTTGTGATAATCAGAAATATAATCAGACCTGCATTCACACGATCAATATAATTATTGCTGCCCGATAAAACCAGAATAATCCCTCTTTGTGCTCACCAGAAATATAAGATCCATCTGTAGTGGTCTTTGGAGAAATTGGTTGGAACTGCCCTGTACTTTGAGATATTTGACTTTTTCCTTGCGCTGGCACTGGTGGAGGTGGTATGGTTATGCCCGGGAGATCTGATTTGCACACGAAAGAAAATTAAAAAAATCATTGCATTACCCATGATGCCTAAAGCCTAGTTCACATTCGACGGAGCGCGACCCGACGCGACGTAAGGATCGACGGGAAGCGACGGGACGGTCTGACGGCGCCCAATGTGAACACCAGGAATGGGAACGCAACCGTACTACCGTACAGATCGGGAAGTGACGGGAAGAGTTGGATCGATCCAACTTTTCATACCGTAGACGGGCGTAGACGGGGACGCAAGCGTACAAAACGGCTGCAATTCAAGTGTGAACAGGAGACGGCGTCGTGCGCTGACTGCTCCCGATTCGTACTTGGAAAATTTTGGCATTTCGAACACTGTGCTTCCCATGATAACTCACAGAATGGCTAGCACGACTTGAGGTCAATTTTAGCAACATAAGATCTCATGTCACTTATTGTATTTAGGGATAGTTCAGAAGCGTGACAGACGAACTATTCTATCATTTCCTGGGGCTATTATTTGAATGCCACAACTTTGAGGGCTAATTTTTTGGTCTTCATGAAAAACTGGTATTGTGAACTTCATTCAGCTTCTTTCAAGGAGAAATATTTGAAAAGAAGTCCCGAAAAACGAGAAATTGGGTCCAAAAGTCACCCCGTCACGGACCGTGCCTTATGACTCGCGCCGTTCGATGGTGAACGTCGCAACGACTGCTGCATGTTGTGTCGTACGAATCGTACAGGATTTTACAGCTCACCCCAACCCTCCCGACAAGCCCTTACGTCCCGTACCGTCGGCGTTGCGTCCAATGTGAACTAGGCTTAAAGGTGGTTTGTCAAGATGTTGTCAATCCAATCACTAGATATCAGTAACTACCTATCAGGCAGTTCAACCACATTGCATGGAATTACGTGATTGAAGAGTGGTGAGTGAACTATACACTGTCCAGATTCCATTTCCACGCGGATATGATCCTGCTTCATGTATATCATTGGAGAAGATCCTTGTTTAGACTTACCTGAAATGTTAGATGCACTTGGATTGGTCACTGCAGGCATTTCTTGCACTTTTCTTTGGGCTGTTACTGGTTTTGCTGGTAAGGTTATGCCTGACACATCCGCATCTGCAAGGAGATAAAAAACGACAAATTCCCTACATTACACATGATGTGTAGGTTCCAGTTACGCTTTCTTGTGACGATCATCAGTTGGAAATCCATCACAATCCGGTATTGAAGAGGTTCCAAACTGATCCTAAAGAGTGACTGGGATTCCAGAATTGTACATGGGGATTTATCTAGGATTGAAGGAGTTCAAAGCCCTGCTGCTTTATACAAGCAGAACAAGCCCACTTTGTGATAATCAGAAATATAATCAGACCTGCATTCGCACGATCAATATTATTGCACAATCAATATAATTATTGCTGCTCGATAAAACCAGAATAATCCCTCTTTGTGCTCACCGGAAATATAAGATCCATCTGTAGTTGTCTTCGGAGAAATTGGTTGGAACTGCCCTGTACTTTGAGATGTTTGACTTTTTCCTTGCGCTGGCACTGGTGGAGGTGGTATGGTTATACCCGGGAGATCTGATTTGCACACGAAAGAAAATTTAAAAAATCATTGCATTACCCGTGATGCCTAAAGGCCTAATTCACATTCGACGGAGCGCGACGGGACGCGACGTAAGGATCGACGGGAAGCGACGGGACGGTCTGACGGCGTCCAATGTGAACACCAGGAATGGGAACGCAACCGTACTGCCGTACAGATCGGGAAGCGACGGGAAGAGTTGGATCGATCCAACTTTTCATACCGTAGACGGGCGTAGACGGCGACGCAAGCGTACAAAACGGCTGCAATCCAAGTGTGAACAGGAGACGGCGTCGTGCGCCGACTGCTCCCGATTCGTACTTGGAAAATTTTAGCATTTCGAACACTGTGCTTCCCATGACAACTCACAGAATGGCTAGCACGACTTGAGTTGAATTTTAGCAACATAAGATCTCATGTCACTTATTGTATTTAGGGATAGTTCAGAAGCGTGACAGACGAACTATTCTATCATTTCCTGGGGCTATTATTTGAATGCCACAACTTTGAGGGCTAATTTTTTGGTCTTCATGAAAAACTGGTATTGTGAACTTCATTCAGCTTCTTTCAAGGAGAAATATTTGAAAAGAAGTCCCGAAAAACGAGAAATTGGGTCCAAAAGTCACCCCGTCACGGACCGTGCCTTATGACTCGCGCCGTTCGATGGTGAACGTCGCAACGACTGCTGCATGTTGTGTCGTACGAATCGTACAGGATTTTACAGCTCACCCCAACCCTCCCGACAAGCCCTTAAGTCCCGTACCGTCGGCGTTGCGTCCAAGGTGAACTAGGCTTAAAGGTGGTTTGTCAAGATGTTGTCAATCCAATCACTAGATATCAGTAACTACCTATCAGGCAGTTTAACCACATTGCATGGAATTACGTGATTGAAGAGTGGTGAGTGAACTATACACTGTCCAGATTCCATTTCCACGTGGATATGATCCTGCTTCATGTATATCATTGGAGAAGTTCCTTGTTTAGACTTACCTGAAATGTTAGATGCACTTGGATTGGTCACTGCAGGCATTCCTTGCACTTTTCTTTGGGCTGTTACTGGTTTTGCTGGTAAGGTTATGCCTGACACATCCGCATCTGCAAGGAGATAAAAAACGACAAATTCCCTACATTACACATGATGTGTAGGTTCCAGTAACGCTTTCTTGTGACGATCATCAGTTGGAAATCCATCACAATCCGGTATTGAAGAGGTTCCAAACTGATCCTAAAGAGTGACTGGGATTCCAGAATTGTACATGGGGATTTATCTAGGATTGAAGGAGTTCAAAGCCCTGCTGCTTTATACAAGCAGAACAAGCCCACTTTGTGATAATCAGAAATATAATCAGACCTGCATTCGCACGATCAATATTATTGCACAATCAATATAATTATTGCTGCCCGATAAAACCAGAATAATTCCTCTTTGTGCTCACCGGAAATATAAGATCCATCTGTAGTTGTCTTTGGAGAAATTGGTTGGAACTGCCCTGTACTTTGAGATGTTTGACTTTTTCCTTGCGCTGGCACTGGTGGAGGTGGTATGGTTATACCCGGGAGATCTGATTTGCACACGAAAGAAAATTTAAAAAAATCATTGCATTACCCATGATGCCTAAAGCCTAGTTCACATTCGACGGAGCGCGACGGGACGCGACGTAAGGATCGGCGGGAAGCGACGGGACGGTCTGACGGCGTCCAATGTGAACAACAGGAATGGGAACGCAACCGTACTACCGTACAGATCGGGAAGCGACGGGAAGAGCTGGATCGATCCAACTTTTCATACCGTAGACGGGCGTAGACGGGGACGCAAGCGTACAAAACGGCTGCAATTCAAGTGTGAACAGGAGACGGCGTCGTGCGCCGACTGCTCCCGATTCGTACTTGGAAAATTTTAGCATTTCGAACACTGTGCTTCCCATGACAACTCACAGAATGGCTAGCACAACTTGAGTTGAATTTTATTAACATAAGATCTCATGTCACTTATTGTATTAAGGGATAGTTCAGAAGCGTGACAGACGAACTATTCTATCATTTCCTGGGGCTATTATTTGAATGCCACAACTTTGAGGGCTAATTTTTTGGTCTTCACGAAAAACTGGTATTGTGAACTTCATTCAGCTTCTTTCAAGGAGAAATAATTGAAAAGAAGTCCCGAAAAACGAGAAATTAGGTCCAAAAGTCGCCCGGTCACGGACCGTGCCTTATGACTCGCGCCGTTCGATGGTGAACGGCGCAACGACTGCTGCATGTTGTGTCGTACGAATCGTACAGGATTTTACAGCTCACCCCAGCCCTCCCGACAAGCCCTTACGTCCCGTACCGTCGGCGTTGCGTCGAATGTGAACTAGGCTTAAAGGTGGTTTGTCAAGATGTTGTCAATCCAATCACTAGATATCAGTAACTACCTATCAGGCAGTTTAACCACATTGCATGGAATTACGTGATCGAAGAGTGGTGAGTGAACTATACACTGTCCAGATTCCATTTCCACGCGGATATGATCCTGCTTCATGTATATCATTGGAGACGTTCCTTGTTTAGACTTACCTGAAATGTTAGATGCACTTGGATTGGTCACTGCAGGCATTCCTTGCACTTTTCTTTGGGCTGTTACTGGTTTTGCTGGTAAGGTTATGCCTGACACATCCGCATCTGCAAGGAGATAAAAAACGACAAATTCCCTACATTACACATGATGTGTAGGTTCCAGTAACGCTTTCTTGTGACGATCATCAGTTGGAAATCCATCACAATCCGGTAATGAAGAGGTTCCAAACTGATCCTAAAGAGTAACTGGGATTCCAGAATTGTACATGGGGATTTATCTAGGATTGAAGGAGTTCAAAGCCCTACTGCTTTATACAAGCAGAACAAGCCCACTTTGTAATAATCAGAAATATAATCAGACCTGCATTCGCACGATCAATATTATTGCACAATCAATATAATTATTGCTGCCCGATAAAACCAGAATAATCCCTCTTGGTGCTCACCAGAAATATAAGATCCATCTGTAGTTGTCTTTGGAGAAATTGGTTGGAACTGCCCTGTACTTTGAGATGTTTGACTTTTTCCTTGCGCTGGCACTGGTGGAGGTGGTATGGTTATACCCGGGAGATCTGATTTGCACACGAAAGAAAATTTAAAAAAATCATTGCATTACCCATAATGCCTAAAGCCTAGTTAACATTCGACGGGGCGCGACGGGACGCGACGTAAGGATCGTCGGGAAGCGACGGGAGGGTCTGACGGCGTCCAATTTGAACACCAGGAATGGGAACGCAACTGTACTACCGTACAGATCGGGAAGCGGCGGGAAGAGTTGAATCGATCCAACTTTTCATACCGTAGACGGGTGTAGACGGGGACGCAAGCGTACAAAACGGCTGCAATTCAAGTGTGAACAGGAGACGGCGTCGTGCGCCGACTGCTCCCGATTCGTACTTGGAAAATGTAAGCATTTCGAACACTGTGCTTCCCATGATAACTCACAGAATGGCTAGCATGACTTGAGTTGAATTTTAGCACCATAAAATCTCATGTCACTTATTTTATTTAGGGATAGTTCAGAAGCGTGACAGACGAACTATTCTATCATTTCTTGGGGCTATTATTTGAATGCCACAACCTTGAGGGCTAATTTTTTAGTCTTCACAAAAAACTGGTACTGTTAACTTGATTCCGCTTCTTTCAAGGAAAAATAATTGAAAAGAAGTCCCGAAAAACGAGAAATTAGGTCCAAAAGTCGCCCCGTCACGGACCGTGCCTTATGACTCGCGCCGTTCGACGGTGAACGTCGCAACAACTGCTGCATGTTGTGTCGTACGAATCGTACAGGATTTTACAGCTCACACCAGCCCTCCCGACAAGCCCTTACGTCCCGTCCCGTCGGCGTTGCGTCCAATGTGAACTAGGCTTAAAGGTGGTTTGTCAAGATGTTGTCAATCCAATCACTAGATATCAGTAACTACCTATCAGGCTGTTTAACTACATTGCATGGAATTACGTGATTGAAGAGTGTTGAGTGAACTATACACTGTCAAGATTCCATTTCCACGCGGATATGATCCTGCTACATGTATATCATTGGAGAAGTTCCTTGTTTAGACTTACCTGAAATGTTAGATGCACTTGGATTGGTCACTGCAGGCATTCCTTGCACTTTTCTTCGGGCTGTTACTGGTTTTGCTGGTAAGGTTATGCCTGACACATCCGCATCTGCAAGGAGATAAAAAACGACAAATTCCCTACATTACACATGATGTGTAGGTTCCCGTAACGCTTTCTTGTGACGATCATCAGTTGGAAATCCATCACAATCCGGTATTGAAGAGGTTCCAAACTGATCCTAAAGAGTGACTGGGATTCCAGAATTGTACATGGGGATTTATCTAGGATTGAAGGAGTTCAAAGCCCTACTGGTTTATACAAGCAGAACAAGCCCACTTTGTAATAATCAGAAATATAATCAGACCTGCATTCGCACGATCAATATTATTGCACAATCAATATAATTATTGCTGCCCGATAAAACCAGAATAATCCCTCTTTGTGCTCACCCGAAATATAAGATCCATCTGTAGTGGTCTTTGAAGAAATTGGTTGGAACTGCCCTGGACTTGGAGATGTTTGACTTTTTCCTTGCTCTGGCACTGGTGGAGGTGATATGGTTATACCCGGGAGATCTGATTTGCACACGAAAGAAAATTTAAAAAAAATCATTGCATTAACCATGATGCCTAAAGGTGGTTTGTCAAGATGTTGTCAATCCAATCACTAGATATCAGTAAGTACCTATCAGGCAGCTTAACCACATTGCATGGAATTACGTGATTGAAGAGTGGTGAGTGAACTATACACTGTCCAGATTCTATTTCAACGCGGATATGATCCTGCTACATGTATATCATTGGAGAAGTTCCTTGTTTAGACTTACCTGAAATGTTAGATGCACTTGGATTGGTCACTGCAGGCATTCCTTGCACATTTCTTTGGGCTGTTACTGGTTTTGCTGGTAAGGTTATGCCTGACACATCCGCATCTGCAAGGAGATAAAAAACGACAAATTGCCTACATTACACATGATGTGTAGGTTCCAGTAACGCTTTCTTGTGACGATCATCAGTTGGAAATCCATCACAATCCGGTATTGAAGAGGTTCCAAACTGATCCTAAAGAGTGACTGGGATTCCAGAATTGTACATGGGGATTTATCTGGGATTGAAGGAGTTCAAAGCCCTGCTGCTTTATACAAGCAGAACAAGCCCACTTTGTGATAATCAGAAATATAATCAGACCTGCATTCGCACGATCAATATTATTGCACAATCAATATAATTATTGCTGCCCGATAAAACGAGAATAATCCTTCTTTGTGCTCACCGGAAATATAAGATCCATCTGTAGTTGTCTTTGGAGAAATTGGTTGGAACTGCCCTGTACTTTGAGATGTTTGACTTTTTCCTTGCACTGGCACTGGTGGAGGTGGTATGGTTATACCCGGGAGATCTGATTTGCACACGAAAGAAAATTTAAAAAAATCATTGCATTACCCATGATGCCTAAAGCCTAGTTCACATTCGACGGAGCGCGACGGGACGCGACGTAAGGATCGACGGGAAGCGACGGGACGGTCTGACGGCGTCCAATGTGAACACCAGGAAAGGGAACGCAACCGTACTACCGTACAGATCGGGAAGCGACGGGAAGAGTTGGATCGATCCAACTTTTCATACCGTAGATGGGCGTAGACGGGGACGCAAGCGTACAAAACGGCTGCAATTCAAGTGTGAACAGGAGACGGCGTCGTGCGCCGACTGCTCCCGATTCGTACTTGGAAAATTTTAGCATTTCGAACACTGTGCTTCCCATGATAACTCACAGAATGGCTAGCACGACTTGAGTTGAATTTTAGCAACATAAGATCTCATGTCACTTATTGTATTTAGGAATAGTTCAGAAGCGTGACAGACGAACTATTCTATCATTTCCAGGGGCTATTATTTGAATGCCACAACTTTGAGGGCTAATTTTTTGGTCTTCACGAAAAACTAGTATTGTGAACTTGATTCAGCTTCTTTCAAGGAGAAATAATTGAAAAGAAGTCCCGAAAAACGAGAAATTAGGTCCAAAAGTCGCCCCGTCACGGACCGTGCCTTATGACTCGCGCCGTTCGACGGTGAACGGCGCAACGACTGCTGCATGTTGTGTCGTACAAATCGTACAGGATTTTGCAGCTCACCCCAGCCCTCCCGACAAGCCCTTACGTCCCGTACCTTTGGCGTTGCGTCGAATGTGAACTAGGCTTAAAGGTGGTTTGTCAAGATGTTGACACAAGCTCAACTGATGAGGGGTGAATTCCCCGAAACACTGTGTATTGAGCAGGGAGTGGTGCTTTCTTGCAGGTTTGCCGAGTCGAAGGTTCGATGGACTTCTCGTGTGCTCTGGATGGCAGTCGTGAGTCAGTCAAGTGTCAAGTTAAGTCGGCGGAATAGCGCGAGCTCCGGTGTGGGGAGCAAACACTTTCTGCATTCACACGATCACTATAATTATTGCTGCCCGATAAAACCAGAATAATCCCTCTTTGTGCTCACCAGAAATATAAGATCTATCTGAGGTTGTCTTTGGAGAAATTGGTTGGAACTGCCCTGGACTTTGAGATGTTTGACTTTTTCCTTGCGCTGGCACTGGTGGAGGTGGTATGGTTATACCAGGGAGATCTGATTTGCACACGAAAGAAAATTTTAAAAAAATCATTGCATTACCCATGATGCCTAAAGGTGGTTTGTCAAGATGTTGTCAATCCAATCACTAGATATCAGTAACTACCTATCAGGCTGTTTAACCACATTGCATGGAATTACGTGATTGAAGAGTGGTGAGTGAACTATACACTGTCCAGATTCCATTTCCACGCGGATATGATCCTGCTACATGTATATCATTGGAGAAGTTCCTTGTTTAGACTTACCTGAAATGTTAGATGCACTTGGATTGGTCACTGCAGGCATTCCTTGCACTTTTCTTTGGGCTGTTACTGGTTTTGCTGGTAAGGTTTTGCCTGACACATCCGCATCTGCAAGGGGATAAAAAACGACAAATTCCTTACATTACACATGATGTGTAGGTTCCAGTAACGCTTTCTTGTGACGATCATCAGTTGGAAATCCATCACAATCCGGTATTGAAGAGGTTCCAAACTGATCCTAAAGAGTGACTGGGATTCGAGAATTGTACATGGGGATTTATCTAGGATTGAAGGAGTTCAAAGCCCTGCTGCTTTATACAAGCAGAACAAGCCCATTTTGTGATAATCAGAAATATATTCAGACCTGCATTCACACGATCAATATAATTATTGCTGCCCGATAAAACCAGAATAATCCCTCTTTGTGCTCACCAGAAATATAAGATCCATCTGTAGTGGTCTTTGGAGACATTGGTTGGAACTGCCCTGTACTTTGAGATGTTTGACTTTTTCCTCGCACTGGCACTGGTGGAGGTGGTATGGTTATACCCGGGAGATCTGATTTGCACACGAAAGAAAATTTTAAAAAATCATTGCATTACCCATGATGCCTGAAGGTGGTTTGTCAAGATGTTGTCAATCCAATCACTAGATATCAGTAACTACCTATCAGGCAGTTTAACCACATTGCATTGAATTACGTGATTGAAGAGTGGTGAGTGAACTATACACTGTCCAGATTCCATTTCCACGCGGATATGATCCTGCTTCATGCATATCATTGGAGAAGTTCCTTGTTTAGACTTACCTGAAATGTTAGATGCACTTGGATTGGTCACTGCAGGCATGCCTTGCACTTTTCTTTGGGCTGTTACTGGTTTTGCTGGTAAGGTTATGCCTGAAACAGCCGCATCTGCAAGGAGATAAAAAACGACAAATTCCCTACATTACACATGATGTGTAGGTTCTAGTAACGCTTTCTTGTGACGATCATCAGTTGGAAATCCATCACATTCCGGTATTGAAGAGGTTCCAAACTGATCCTAAAGAGTGACTGGGATTCAAGATATGTACATTGGATTTATCTAGGATTGGAGGAGTTCAAAGCCCTGCTGCTTTATACAAGCAGAACAAGCTCATTTTGTGATAATCAGAAATATAATCAGACCTGCATTCACACTACGAAGTAGTGGTTGCGACTTCGGCGATGATTTGTAAGAAAGGGTTTGCTCCCCACACCGGAGCTCGCGCTATTCCGCCGACTTTACTTGAAACTTGACAGACTCACGACTGCCATCCAGAGCACACAAGCTCAACTGATGAGGGGTGAATTCCCCGAAACACTGTGTATTGAGCAGGGAGTGGTGCTTTCTTGCAGGTTTGCCGAGTCGAAGGTTCGATGGACTTCTCGTGTGCTCTGGATGGCAGTCGTGAGTCAGTCAAGTGTCAAGTTAAGTCGGCGGAATAGCGCGAGCTCCGGTGTGGGGAGCAAACACTTTCTGCATTCACACGATCACTATAATTATTGCTGCCCGATAAAACCAGAATAATCCCTCTTTGTGCTCACCAGAAATATAAGATCCATCTGTAGTGGTCTTTGGAGAAATTGGTTGGAACTGCCCTGGACTTGGAGATGTTTGACTTTTTCCTTGCGCTGGCACTGGTGGAGGTGGTATGGTTATACCCGGGAGATCTGATTTGCACATGAAAGAAAATTTAAAAAAAAATCATTGCATTACCCCTGATGCCTAAAGGTGGTTTGTCAAGATGTTGTCAATCCAATCACTAGATATCAGTAACTACCTATCAGGCTGTTTAACCACATTGCATGGAATTACGTGATTGAAGTGTGGTGAGTGAACTATACACTGTCCAGATTCCATTTCCACGCGGATATGATCCTGCTACATGTATATCATTGGAGAAGTTCCTTGTTTAGACTTACCTGAAATGTTAGATGCACTTGGATTGGTCACTGCAGGTATTCCTTGCACTGTTCTTTGGGCTGTTACTGGTTTTGCTGGTACGGTTATGCCTGACACATCCGCATCTGCAAGGAGATAAAAAACGACAAATTCCCTACATTACACATGATGTGTAGGTTCCAGTACCGCTTTCTTGTGACGATCATCAGTTGGAAATCCATCACAATCCGGTATTGAAGAGGTTCCAAACTGATCCTAAAGAGTGACTGGGATTCAAGAATTGTACATGGGGATTTATCTAGGATTGAAGGAGTTCAAAGCCCTGCTGCTTTATACAAGCAGAACAAGCCCACTTTGTGATAATCAGAAATATAATCAGACCTGCATTCGCACGATCAATATTATTGCACAATCAATATAATTATTGCTGCCCGATAAAACCAGAATAATCCCTCTTTGTGCTCACCAGAAATATAAGATCCGTCTGTAGTTGTCTTTGGAGAAATTGGTTGGAACTGCCCTGGACTTTGAGATGTTTGACTTTTTCCTTGTGCTGGCACTGGTGGAGGTGGTATGGTTATACCCGGGAGATCTGATTTGCACACGAAAGAAAATTTTGAAAAAAATCATTGCATTACCCATGATGCCAAAAGGTGGTTTGTCAAGATGTTGTCAATCCAATCACTAGATATCAGTAACTACCTATCAGGCAGTTTAACCACATTGGATGATATTACGTGATTGAGGAGTGGTGAGTGAACTATACACTGTCCAGATTCTATTTCAACGCGGATATGATCCTGCTACATGTATATCATTGGAGAAGTTCCTTGTTTAGACTTACCTGAAATGTTAGATGCACTTAGATTGGTCACTGCAGGCATTCCTTGCACTTTTCTTTGGGCTGTTACTGGTTTTGCTGGTACGGTTATGCCTGACACATCCGCATCTGCAAGGAGATAAAAAACGACAAATTCCCTACATTACACATGATGTGTAGGTTCCAGTAACGCTTTCTTGTGACGATCATCAGTTGGAAATCCATCACAATCCGGTATTGAAGAGGTTCCAAACTGATCCTAAAGAGTGACTGGGATTTGAAAATTGTCCATGGGGATTTATCTAGGATTGAAGGAGTTCAAAGCCCTGCTGCTTTATACAAGCAGAACAAGCCCATTTTGTGATAATCAGAAATATATTCAGACCTGCATTCACACGATCAATATAATTATTGCTGCCCGATAAAACCAGAATAATCCCTCTTTGTGCTCACCAGAAATATAAGAGCTCCGGTGTGGGGAGCAAACACTTTCTGCATTCACACGATCACTATAATTATTGCTGCCCGATAAAACCAGAATAATCCCTCTTTGTGCTCACCAGAAATATAAGATCCATCTGTAGTTGTCTTTGGAGAAATTGGTTGGAACTGCCCTGGACTTTGAGATGTTTGACTTTTTCCTTGCGCTGGCACTGGTGGAGGTGGTATGGTTATACCAGGGAGATCTGATTTGCACACGAAAGAAAATTTTAAAAAAATCATTGCATTACCCATGATGCCTAAAGGTGGTTTGTCAAGATGTTGTCAATCCAATTACTAGATATCAGTAACTACCTATCAGGCTGTTTAACCACATTGCATGGAATTACGTGATTGAAGAGTGGTGAGTGAACTATAGACTGTCAAGATTCCATTTCCACGCGGATATGATCCTGCTACATGTATATCATTGGAAAAGTTCCTTGTTTAGACTTACCTGAAATGTTAGATGCACTTGGATTGGTCACTGCAGGCATTCCTTGCACTTTTCTTTGGGCTGTTACTGGTTTTGCTGGTACGGTTATGCCTGACACATCCGCATCTGCAAGGAGATAAAAAACGACAAATTCCCTACATTACACATGATGTGTAGGTTCCAGTAACGCTTTCTTGTGACGATCATCAGTTGGAAATCCATCACAATCCGGTATTGAAGAGGTTCCAAACTGATCCTAAAGAGTGACTGGGATTCGAGAATTGTCCATGGGGATTTATCTAGGATTGAAGGAGTTCAAAGCCCTGCTGCTTTATACAAGCAGAACAAGCCCATTTTGTGATAATCAGAAATATATTCAGACCTGCATTCACACGATCAATATAAATATTGCTGCCCGATAAAACCAGAATAATCCCTCTTTGTGCTCACCAGAAATATAAGATCCATCTGTAGTGGTCTTTGGAGACATTGGTTGGAACTGCCCTGTACTTTGAGATGTTTGACTTTTTCCTCGCGCTGGCACTGGTGGAGGTGGTATGGTTATAGCCGGGAGATCTGATTTGCACACGAAAGAAAATTTAAAAAAATCATTGCATTACCCATGATGCCTGAAGGTGGTTTTTCAAGATGTTGTCAATCCAATTACTAGATATCAGTAACTACCTATCAGGCAGTTTAACCACATTGCATGGAATTACGTGATTGAAGAGTGGTGAGTGAACTATACACTGTCCAGATTCCATTTCCACGCGGATATGATCCTGCTTCATGCATATCATTGGAGAAGTTCCTTGTTTAGACTTACCTGAAATGTTAGATGCACTTGGATTGGTCACTGCAGGGATGCCTTGCACTTTTCTTTGGGCTGTTACTGGTTTTGCTGGTAAGGTTATGCCTGAAACAGCCGCATCTGCAAGGAGATAAAAAACGACAAATTCCCTACATTACACATGATGTGTAGGTTCTAGTAACGCTTTCTTGTGACGATCATCAGTTGGAAATCCATCACAATCCGGTATTGAAGAGGTTCCAAACTGATCCTAAAGAGTGACTGGGATTCAAGATATGTACATTGGATTTATCTAGGATTGGAGGAGTTCAAAGCCCTGCTGCTTTATACAAGCAGAACAAGCTCATTTTGTGATAATCAGAAATATAATCAGACCTGCATTCACACTACGAAGTAGTGGTTGCGACTTCGGCGATGATTTGTAAGAAAGGGTTTGCTCCCCACACCGGAGCTCGCGCTATTCCGCCGACTTTACTTGAAACTTGACAGACTCACGACTGCCATCCAGAGCACACAAGCTCAACTGATGAGGGGTGAATTCCCCGAAACACTGTGTATTGAGCAGGGAGTGGTGCTTTCTTGCAGGTTTGCCGAGTCGAAGGTTCGATGGACTTCTCGTGTGCTCTGGATGGCAGTCGTGAGTCAGTCAAGTGTCAAGTTAAGTCGGCGGAATAGCGCGAGCTCCGGTGTGGGGAGCAAACCCTTTCTGCATTCACACGATCACTATAATTATTGCTGCCCGATAAAACCAGAATAATCCCTCTTTGTGCTCACCAGAAATATAAGATCCATCTGTAGTGGTCTTTGGAGAAATTGGTTGGAACTGCCCTGGACTTTGAGATGTTTGACTTTTTCCTTGCGCTGGCACTGGTGGAGGTGGTATGGTTATACCCGGGTGATCTGATTTGCACATGAAAGAAAATTTAAAAAAAATCATTGCATTACCCCTGATGCCTAAAGGTGGTTTGTCAAGATGTTGTCAATCCAATCACTAGATATCAGTAACTACCTATCAGGCAGTTTAATCACATTGCATGGAATTACGTGATTGAAGAGTGGTGAGTGAACTATACACTGTCGAGATTCCATTTCCACGCGGATATGATCCTGCTACATGTATATCATTGGAGAAGTTCCTTGTTTAGACTTACCTGAAATGTTAGATGCACTTGGATTGGTCACTGCAGGCATGCCTTGCACTTTTCTTTGGGCTGTTACTGGTTTTGCTGGTAAGGTTATGCCTGACACATCCGCATCTGCAAGGAGATAAAAAACGACAAATTCCCTACATTACACATGATGTGTAGGTTCCAGTAACGCTTTCTTGTGACGATCATCAGTTGGAAATCCATCACAATCAGGTATTGAAGAGGTTCCAAACTGATCCTAAAGAGTAACTGGGATTCCAGAATTGTACATGGGGATTTATCTAGGATTGAAGGAGTTCAAAGCCCTGCTGCTTTATACAAGCAGAACAAGCCCACTTTGTGGAGATAATCAGAAATATAATCAGACCTGCATTCACACGATTAATATATTGCTGCCTGATAAAACTAGAATAATCCCTCTTTGTGCTCACCAGAAATATAAGATCCATCTGTAGTGGTCTTTGGAGAAATTGGTTGGAACTGCCCTGTACTTTGAGATGTTTGACTTTTTTCTTGGGCTGGCACTGGTGGAGTTATAGTGGTTATACCCGGGGGATCTGATTTGCACACGAAAGAAAATTTACAAAACCCATTGCATTACCCATGATGCCTAAAGGCGTTTTGTCAAGATGTTGTCAATCCAATCACTAGATATCAATAACTAACTTACTATTGAAAACTATCAGGCAGCTTTACCACATCCCATCGAAGTACGTGATCCAAGAATGATAAATATTGAAATATAAATTGTCAAAATTCTATTGCCGTTAGCAGAACCTGATGTGCTTCTGCTACATCATTGGAGAAGTCCCTTTTTTAGCCTCACCTGAAAAGTGAGATGCACTTGCACTGCTTGCTGCAGGCATTCCTTGACCTCTTCTTTGGGCTGTTACTTGTTTTGCTGGTAGGGTTGTTCCTGAACCATCCGCATCTGCAAAGAGACAAAATGACAAATTCCCCACATTCCACGTGATGTGTAGATTCCCAAGTGGATTATATGGGTCACAACTAGCTAAAACAGAATGAAAATTGTCTATTTTTTATTCCACTAAACAGGTTTTGAAACCTTACTTGACCTATTGAATACAGTACAGGGCACCCAGGTAGTTTAAACATGCCCCAAGCACCGCTTTGAAATTTATACACTTTGAAAGAGATCAGGACAGTTTCCGAGCAGTCCAACACAAACATGTGGCTATTGTGGAGGAGCACAATACAATGAAAACATTTCTGATAATGACACAGAATTACGCATGTTATGGTAAAAAGGAGACGGACAAAATGTTACGAGTTATGGCTGTATATGATCTGGAGAGAGTTGGTGGACAGTTAATTATAACTCGGGACATTTTGTCCTTTTGCTTTTCACCATAATTAAATTGGCTCACCGTCTGAGTTCAATTGAGCATATCGACGGCATTAGTACCAAGTCACGGACCAAGTTTTTCTTGGAAAGCACCAGGATGCTCTGGGCAGCATTTCCCTTTCTTACTTTTCGGCCACCGGTTCATGAATGAAGCGCAGTGTGAACCTGCTCGGCCAAAACAGTTTTCCATTCCGTCTTTTCTCTTCTTCTTTTTTTGGCAAAGACATTTTTTAGCTAAACTTGGCCCATATACATTTCAAATAGCACTTTCTCCCTGCAGCTAGGTGAAATATCATCTCTTGTCGAGCTGTGTCACGTGATTCCAGGACAATATCACGAAACAACACACAGATTACTGACGCTTTCTCACACACTGCATATCTCGCTACATATCACATGGTAATTGTTATGCTGGGCATGCCACATTCATGGTGTGTACCAGAACTCTCAGGGCGGGGTCGGAATATCAATTTTCATTGCATGATGGATTCAGTTCGTGAAACTCAGAGTTACGACACCGCAAATTCTCGTTCTTCTGGCTGTGCACTTCAAACAGCCTGAACCCAAGTACTAAATGTGTCATTGTTCAGGATAAAAGAAGTGATAGCGTAATACTTACAGTCAAGGGACATTTAGTGCCAATATCAGAACCGATATTGGCAGCAATAAGTCGAACCTTTTCATCCATGATATTATACTGCAATCGAAATGAAGCTGTAGATATATAATTTGGGCATTCATTACTCGACAACACAAGGCAAGGTTGGTTTTAACCCTTTCACTACCCACTATTTTCGCAGTTGAATCAATTCAAAGTCTACAGAAATACGTTATCGTGCGCCAATTATGACCCAAGGAGTGAAAGTGATAGTTGCAGTCGATAGTCAAGGTCTTTCTGAAGACGTAGAGCCCTCATTTGTAATAATCCGACAATATTTGAGCGTGTGACGAAA